CTTCTGTGGTTGTCCTCATGAGAGTGAGTTTAATTTGATAGTTTTAGAAGCAACCGATAGCTTTTACAACTGTACTTAAAGAAGTTCTAGATTTTTCTGTATCCTTTACAATCGTTTAAGAAGACTATGAGATACAGTCATCCATCCTTCTGTTTATTCTAGGCTAGAGTTTTGTAATTCTCTTTACTTAGGTATCCCTCACGCATTGTTGTTTTGTCCTCAGCTGGTGCAAAATTCCGCTGCCAGATTCCCGACTGGTACCAGGAAAAGGAAGCACGTAACCTGTAATCCTGTGCTAACCTCAACATTGTCTGACAGTTTGATATAGAGTGGATTTTAAAGTTTCATTAATTCTGTTCAAGGCATTGCGTGGTCAGGCTCCTTCTTATATTGTTGATATATGCCGTATCAATTCTAGTCCCGCCCTTCTTAGGTCAAGTAACAGTCAAGTAACTGTCCCATGTGCCTTTTCCCCATTTATTCAGCCTCATCTTTTGTTTAATTTATTGGTTTATTTTTCCCTGTTGTCTGGTATTTATTTATGTCTTTGTGTTGTATCTCTGTATTTGTTCTACTGTGCCTGCGCCTTGTCTGATTATGATCTGTGGTTCTTGTGTTCCTAGTCTTTTGTAGTGTAGGCAGCCCTCAGTTTTTGTTAATATTCCCTAGTCTCTATGGTGCTTAATTGTAATGCACCCCACCTGTTCCTTGTTGCCCTGAGACCTTTTGCCATGTTAGAGTTATGGGTTTCACCTGTCCTGTGTCACATCTTATTATTTGTGTATTTAAGTGCTTGCTTTTGTTTTGTTCTTTGTTGGTTCGTTGTGGCTGAATCTCTGTTACCCTGTGTTGTTGTACTGATTCCCTGTGCTGTAGTTTTCTCTGTTAATTACTGCAATCTTCCTCAGTACTTCCCTGCCTTTAGTATTGTGCTCCCAGTGTTGCTCCCTGCCCTAATTTCTGTTTTATCTGTTTGTTTTGACCCCTCGCGGTCACTTTATTTTCTGGCTATTCATTTGTTTTTGTTAATAAATCCTGCTTAGTTGGAGCCATTACATGGATCGTCTCTCCTTCCGTCATGCCTCGCCATAACGTCAGCTTCATTTGCTGCTTCCATGTTCTAAGTTAACGATGAAAGGAGACGGGGATTTTGCTGCAGCTCCTTAACTGTGGGATAACCTGCCTGCTCGTATTCTGTACAGCCAGGGGCGCCGTAAGGGGGAGGAAACCTAGGACGATTCCAAGGGCCCCTGAGCGACAGGGGCCCTAAAAAATTAGGAAAATAACTGGATTGCTTTAGACTGGGGGGCCTAATATGATATGCTTTCATGGGGCCCAAAATCTCTAGCAGCGCCCCTGTGTACAGCACTTGGGTAATTTCAGCTGATTTTAAACATGATATGTAAATAAATTTGACCTTCATATTTAAGACTACACAGGAGTGCAGAGAATAATTTAAATTGCATTCCATATTTAAAGAAATTATAAAGATGTGAAGGGCTATATGAAACAATTGTAAGCTGCACTGGGGACTCATCTTTCATAAAAAGAGATTAATCAGAAGAACCCAAGTGAATCGGATGATCGTTGATTGATTACACATGTAAATTCCACCTCAGTCAGTGTAAACAAAGGAAAGGAGTCATGTTGAATGAAAAATGTAGGGCTTAAGACAACTGAGACAATGGTATCCTTTGATCTCAACTATTTCAACTATCACATACGGAGAAAACTCGTAACGGTACAATACACTGTTTATTACAGTATACAGCACACTACTATATAAACATTCACAAATATACTAAAAATCTTATACGTGGTGCAAATTCGACATTAAAACAATATTTAAAGATGGTTGACACAAACCTACCAGTACAGTCTGCTTGAAGTATCGCTTATCGACCAATTCGCTTAACGACCTAGTTGTAGGAACGGAAGTTAAGTGAGGAGCGTCTGTAATTCATATTGAAATATTAATCTGTATTGTTAAAGCTGCATTTACATATGTGTATAACTTAATGTGAAATCAATTCCATTTTAATTCTACTTACATATTAACTCCCTTTTTTGTCCTAAATTGTGCAGCCTTAATACTAAGTATATGAAATATTAACGACTTCGAGATCCAACAACATAATGCATGCAACATTGAACATGACGTAGTAAAATTATATGTGGTTGGGCAAAATACCAATATTAAGTGGGGCAATGGGTAGAATATAGAGTACACTGCAGCAATGTCACAGAATCATAAACTCGGTGTGGATGCAGCGAGTGTAAAACATTTCATGCCACAACCTCATATAAACAAGGCCGATCGAAAATAAAGCAGCTGAGCCGACAAAAATGGTTTTCTCGCACTGCCCCCTGGTGGACTGTGCAAGTATGAGCAGCAGCACGGCTTGTGTAGCGACATCACTTACAGCGGGGAAAAGTCCATCAGAAGACTTGAATCCAGTTGAAAATCTATGGAAAGGACTAAAGATCAGAGTTCATAGGCGAGGCCATATAAACATCAAGATTTGAAGACAGTTTGTGTGGAAGAATAGGCCAAAATCACACCTGAGCAATGCATGCCACTAGTTTCTCTATACAGGAGGCGTCTTAAAGCTGTCATTTCCAACAAAGGCTTTTCTACTAAGTATTAAATAAATTTCGGTACGCGTGTTTAATACTTATTCCCTGTGTCATTTCACTTTATTTCACATAACTTAATCTATGTACTTATTTGTTTTGATTTCTTTGTATATGCGGATTACTTGGGTTGTTACCGACATCTGGTGTAAATTTCATGTCAATAGATCCTTTAGAAATATATTTACTGAGAAAAATGTTGACGCGTTCAATACTTATTTTCCCCGCTGTATGTGATGCAGACCTAATTATATATATTACAGGTAATCCAAAATTTCAAACACAGACAGTATCTATACTTTCTATAATGCTGAACAGATATTATATGGAAAATTGCTGTTATAAAGTTGCAACTGTTAGTAAGGGGTATGCAGAGTTAACAGGGGTCCCCTATAAAACACTGCACAACGATCCATAGCTTCTAGAAGTGAAAAATTAGAATTTAGTAATCAGTGGTTATTGTTGACACACCACAGCACACAGTGCACAAAAAGGAAAATGTATAATTTGCTGCCCTGTTCCCTATTTAGGAACGGTATATACTTACCAAAGTTTTGTTAATTTTTTCCCCTCAAAAGTGGGGGGCAGGTGGGACGGACTGATCCGGGTCCCTATATAAGTGGGGTGGGGGGACGACGTCCCCCCACCATCTGCGCCCTGGCAGACACTGTCATTGCATTGTGTGTAAAGTGTATAGTTCTTAGACAGAAATATATACAAAAGACTTTATAATCACAATTCGGGCTTTAACTTGTCGTTGGGTGTGTGCTTTTTCGTGTGATAGGTTCATGCTTCACAATCATCACTGATTTACGCTCGAGTGACGTGTGATGCCTCAGAGGTCTCTGCTTGTTCCAGGTGCTGACCTGCTGGCGACCTTCAACACGAACCGTGACATCCGTGTGAACCCTAGTGAAAATCTTTCCAAGTTCAACGTACATAAAATAACTGGATACTGGGTCCTAAGAACCAAAAATTACACTGGGAAGCTCTATTATATAGAGAGTCATTAATTCTTTTAGTGTCAATCAGAAGATAATTAAATCTACTTAAGTTAATTGCATTTGGGACAACAGATGAGCAGCCCTTCAGCTTGCCTGGAAAGGATTTTAAGTATTGGCAGGAACTATAGAAACGAGATATTCCCGAAAACATTCACAATTTCGTTTCACAATTTCGTAAAATTCTGTAGGCTATACGCTACAGATGTCCCAGGTACGAGAAGTTGACTTGTGCTTTCGATTACATGAGTGAAATTATTAAATGCGCTTTATCGAGTTAGGAGCAAATACCAGGTTGAATTCTAAAATCATGAGCCGTGTGTGTGTGTGTGTGTGTGTGGGGGGGGGGGGGGGNGGGGGGGGGGGGGGTAATTTCTCCCCACTTTCGTTTCAGGTTGTTTTCGGTGATTCTCCTGTGCGATCTTGTCATCTCATCTCAATTTATCTAGTGCTTAAAACTGCATATGTAGGCTACTGTCGTCAATTTTAGGATGCCTTGTCAAGTTAAGGCAGCTGACAGTTACACAAGCTAACAAAACCGTCATCTCTACAGCCGGTAAAATGGACTTAGATATGTGGTTCAGTGATCTCTGTGAGGTCATTTGGATAATATAACAGCTTTAGGACTGCATTAGCCTACATCAATATCAGGTAGACTATTACTGTTAGTATTTTAGGCATAGTATTTGTGCCAAACACGCTTTTACCACATCCTTTTATATACCATGCCATTGCCAGTTTTCTAGACCAGGCATGAATATTCAGAGCATTGACTAAAAAACACATTGTGTCAAATATACATTTTCAGTATTTAACTGCTCATACATGGAAATTCATATTGGATTTAATGAATTGTGTAGTTAATATTACAAATGACCTGAAGACAATGCGATATAGTGACTAGTTAAATGCCAATTCAGAAAATTCTTATTAGGCTACTTATAGCCTAACACAAATGGATCCTCGTATTTGGATTCATTATTTCAGACACTTGTTTGTTGCCCTATATACTTATTTTGTATTAGGTAGGACTGGATTAGTAGTTTAATTCGGTTTTACTTTTATCCAATCGGTGTCAGTTGTGAACAGATGTGTATTTAACCATATTTACACTGTTGCTCAGTTATAAATGTAAAAAGATGAAATCCGTGACATCCTTCGAACCTAAAATGTTTTGCATAGTTATTATAGCCTACAACATAAGGTGCAACTGTCTCTAAAGCTAGTGAAACGATTTTTTTAATTATTATTATTCAGAAGTAGGCAGGTGAACTCATAAATCGTCATCGTAATCACATTGACATTTCACATTTCCACACAGAGTAAAAAAATAAGATAATTATATATAAATAGTAAAAGACCTGATACAATTGAAAGTCATTTTTATGATCCCACCGCCAACAAAACAAACACATCATTATCGATTTCAAACATACTGTTTATATAGATAGAAAAGTGCTATTAGCTATGTTGATCCTTCCATTTACCCATACTCGTCTCTTTAGTGATATCACAGCATTTTTAACAAGTTTCACATTTTATATGCATGTGTCTTATAAGAGGCATAGTAAGTAGCCTAGCTCTACCTAAACTATATTAAGGCGCGACATTACGCTAAACATCGATTACAAATAATCTATGCTTTCAACAACTTTGTTTTTCACTGTATAATTGCAATACTACGCGGGATAATTATATCTGGACATTTTATATGCTACCTATAAAACACATGAACTACCTATTCTAGGTCTATTAGTTTACGTACATTACTAAAGTTTCCCTTCACTTCTTAAATAAAAAATCTGCATATGAGGACAAAACATTTAACACTTATTATATTCTCGCAATTATGAACATCCTAACCATTCAGAAAATTATTCTTGAACAATTTTCTGCAAAACGAAGCTTCTGAAACAAAGGGAAGAGAGATGGAGATATTCAATGAAAAGTACTAGAGTCTTAATTTTGGCTTTAAAACACAATTCCCTATATTTTTGTTACTTAAAGCTGTATGTTCATAACAACAATACATAACACGAAATACGCTATCACAAATACAATAATTTAAGACGCAAAGCAACTAACTTACTATAATGAATGTGTCTAGACTTGGTTGTCGATAAGGCTTGTGTATTTGAAATAAACATACAGTCCATTCACAGGATGGACAACAGGCACAGTTTGCATATGAGGGAAAGTTTCGGTGGCTAATTTAAATTCCGTTGCAGAAAGCAACTCCGCCGCCAGTGTTTTTAGTATGATCTGCGCCAGTTCCTTTCCGATGCAGCTTCTGGTCCCTCCACCGAATGGCACGTAATTGAAGCGTCCTCTCTTACTTTCATCCCGGTCACCCCCAAAACGGTCTGGGTCGAAGAGTTCGGGGCTTTGAAAAACCGCAGCTGTTTCGTGGGTGTCCCTGATGCTGTACATGACACTCCATCCTTTCGGGATCTGATAGCCCTTTAAACACAACACAATAAGAGTTAACCTGTTAACCTACTGTAAGCTTATTACATAGTGACATTAAAGCAGATACATACATAAGTGATCTAATATGATCTATCCAAAGAAAGAAAGAAAAAAAATAATAAGCGGACATATTATAGACAACAATTCCGTTTTGATTCGAATATTCGGAACTTATACACCCACTTCACTGATGTGTTCATTTTAATTAAGGCAGAAACTCGTATAAGGGCGAATAATAAATTAAACCAAGTTTACAGTACATCATTCTTTTTTTGTGTTAAGTAGAATATTCTTGACGAGATTTGTTTGATGTTTATTTACTTTATTCACAAAAATTGTCTTGTGCGTGTGTGAACCTCTTTTCGAAACAACTAAGTGGATGATTTTCCTGTCTGCGAACATAATAACGCTTTAAAAGCGACACCTGCTTCACGGCATTCGGGACGTCTAGGTTTGTTATGTCAGTTTTATGGTTTCTGTACCAACATATCAAAAGAAATGGTAAAGTGTACGTGAACAATAACAAAGGCTATATTCTTAAAAATATGTCGTATATCTCTGATAAGACTTACGTCCAATTCAAAGGTTTGCAGTGCAGTCCTGTATCCGCCAGACACAGGTGGGAGAAATCTGAGCACTTCCTTCACAACACAGTTCATGTAACGCAGCTGACTTAACTTTTCTAAAGTTAAATGAGGGTGACAAGAACCCAAATTTGATGTCTCTTTAATGGGATCCATCACTGGATCACAGTAAACTCTTTCTGGCGGACAAATTTCTGAACCAGCTTTTTTGGTGCGATTTTCGTGATTCTTCTTTTCTGTCCGGGTGTGGGAGTGTTTGGGTTTCCAAACTAATTCGTCTCCTTTATTTAGCAGACATTGATCACAGGGTGCAAGCCCATGTTTAGTCAACTCCAGTTTGGCTTTCTCAGCCACCATCGGATGTCTCAGAAGCAGGAGAATGAGCGAAGTAGACGCGCTTGCCGTAGTTGAATGGGCAGCAAATATTAACTCCACCGCACACTCCTGCAATTCAAAGACACGACATAACAAGTCTTCGTCATTAGCAATGCAATATTTGTTATATTACCTACACTTTCTATTGCGATCATATGATAAGCGACATTGACACGTTTTATAGAACAATAGGCCTACATGGACCTATGCATGTGATAACTTTATTAATTAAATACAATAAATAAACTGCAAATATTTCCATAAGCACTTAATTCTTTAGTGTTATATATCACTCTCTGATAGACTACCTTCAGTTCTTGAACGTTTAACTCGTGGCCGTTTTCCTTGGCGCTACTCAGCATGTAATCAAATGCATCCATGTGACCTTCAGTATGATAAGTTCGGAGTTTCTCCTCGATAATTGTCTCCATGCATGTGTGAAGAGTTTCACGAGCTTTAATACCCTGATGAAAATACAGATAGATTGTATTTTAAAAAAATTATGCAAGTTACGTAATGTTCATATAGTCTAATTTAATAGATAATACATTTGTCTAAAACTGTGCAGTAAAACATTTGGGAAACTGGCTAATATAACAAGCTAATGTTTGCTAGGCGTCTTATCTGGTTCTAGTTTGGCGATCTTTTACTGGATTCGTAACATTTTTTAACAGCTTAATAATGTCTACATAATGAATAATGTTAATAAAGATTTAGCAGAATATGGCACAGCAATGTAGACCAAATTAAGAAATACTCACTCTCCGTAGGCCGCTGAACGGCACATCAAACGGGAGCGAGAAGAGGTTATCCATAAGTTGTTCAAATATTTTGGAAAGGTGGTTCATACGGCTCTCTTCCATGTTCAGTCCCAACAGGACCTGGATTGCAACGCGAAATGTAAGAGATTTGGCGGCGTTATACACGTTCACAGAGCTGGGCGCCGAGCACCATTTGGCAATTTCAGACTTGACAACACCTTGCAAGCGGGGCATGTACGCTTCCAAGGCCCTGCGGCTGAACACTTTGGCCAAGATCTTTAAAGAAAGAAGAGAACAATAAATATACCAGATGGCACAAAACGTGTAGTCCAACAGAATACTCCTGTTTCTAATATTCATACAACGTTTTTAAATGCTCTTATGACAGCAGCTTAAATGATTTATTAGGCCTACATCAACTTTATGTAAGATGAGTTTTGCTATGCACCCAAACTAGCCAAAGTATAGTTCACACTTGAAATACCCAATAAGGATGCAATACTGTTTGATCAGTCCGTTTTGCAGTAGTATTTATTACTCAGTATCGCCACATGTAAAGAGGTTATAACAACAATAAGATAATTAACAATAGGCTACCTGAATAGCACAAGCTATCCCGGGAACACGTCTTTAATAAACAATCTGATGCATTTAATATAATACTATAGCCTATGAAACCTTGTCTGATCTAAACAATGTTACTCGGCGCGGTACAGACATTTCTTACTTTTCTTTTTTGTCTGTGTAGCTCCCCAATAGAATTCACCAAGGTATTGGGTCCCAAGATGATCCGAGTGCTCTGAGGCCACTGAGTAGACACCAAGTTGTGCTCCCCGAGGAGAATTTTGCGTATATTTTCTGCACCTGTTACTCGGATAACAGGTTTGCCTAAAAGGTGAGTTTTAAATACGTTTCCATACCTCTCCCTCCTCGACATATGGAAACTTGAACCCTGCCAAAGACGGAATTCAATAAATGAGGTGGTAAACTCAAACGCGCGTAACCAAGTTCCTTTTCCTTAACTCTCCCTATGATACGCCACGCGCAGGAATATGACACATTCCTAGATAGGAATGCATGCTTCCTCCATGCAGCTGATCTGAAGCTGACTCCTATACAGTAACTAAGCGGGCGACTTACCCATTATTTTCGAAACAAGCCCACACATGCAGTATCAGACTTAGAGTTGAAAATGCCCAAAAGTTCAGTGAGTTTCATAGTAGAAGGCTGGAGCAGGTAATACATAATACGATTTTAAGTGGAAATGAAAGTAGAACTAACATCAGAAAAAAGTATATTTCAGTTGTTTTTTTTATGTGTCCATATATATTTTGTCACATACCTGAAAGAACCAGTGGAACGTTTCTCCTACGAGCGGCCAGCCCATTGAGCCCTTGGGAAGCGGTAACTTACATTCCTTGTCCCGTGTTATAGTCCATCGATAGGTCCATAAGTGCCGTGAGATAAGGAGCAACAGCAGCGCAGACAGCAGCGATGTGACCGCTGCAGCCATCGCTGAGACGTGGTTTAAGTCCAGCAGAAGCATCTCAACCACGACCGCAATTTTTAAAAATGTGCTTCAGAAATTCTGCGTTTTATTCGGAGTATAATAGTCCAAGAGAAAGAGGAAACGATTTTAGTGGAGCGTTTTGTGGGGTCTTCAAATATCTGAATTAAACGAAGAAAAGTAAAAATTAATTAATACGATTATCGACATTTTATTTGTACTTCAGAAATGGCAAATACCGGTAAGATTTATTTTGCTTGCTTTCTTATTTTAATGGCTTATATGCTTATTTGTTTATTTTATTTTTGAAAATCGCATAAATATTTACCGATGGATTTTACGGGACTGGCAACATTTAGACTAAACCTACTGAAATACTTTCTCATATTGATTGCTTCTGATTTTATATAGGCCTATGCACAAATATTACGTAAAAGGCACAAAACCTCTAATATTTCATTATATATTGTAATTACACAGCTACACTGAATACCTCAGTATAGTGATAACAGTTAGGCTACTTTACATTTTAACGGTGTCCAGAATTATTGCGCTGCATTTTTTACATGTTCTGGAGATCTAATAACGGAAGCAGCTTATAACTAAAAAGGTGTTGCACTTACTTCGTACAAACCTCGGATTTACGCCGCCCTTTGAACGATTTCTTCTCTGAAACTCTTTCCAAAGTGCAATCTTCTGCTTTCTGTTTTCACGGAACTTTATAGATATTGGCGCAATGTATGATCCACCTTCGTAGGTGACGTACTATGTTTTTGAATATTTAAATTGGGGGGGTTCATAAATCTGCGAGCATTGCACTCAGGTCTGTGACCGGCGACCACATTCGAAGATTGAAAGAATGAGAGGAAACTATTAGTCGCGGTGAACGAAGCTCGAATGACAGGCGGGGACACAGGGGGGACACAGGTAACCAATTGTAGGGACCCACAGATTGGCTGAACTTTAAGTTGGTGATAGTCGATCTTTGGGCAAAGTGATTAATCACAAAATTGTTTGATTTTATATTTAGCTATAGTTGTTCCTTGACAGAAATAAACATATTATCCACACGCATCAATTTGAACAATTCGAAATGAATAAAAACAGGTCTTTCAAAACGAAGTAGCTTTAATTACGTCTGTCCTTAAGTTATCTCACGAATGCACTCAGCCCCTTAAATGTTAAAACAGACATCTAAAGAGATTTTTTTTATCTAAAAATTCTAAAGCGTTGGTGCATAATAGATCTGCAGGTTGTACGACGATATGCGTGTTTAACGTGAGCAGCTCGAAAGAACAACCATGAAAATCTGGCTACCGAATCATTTCTTTCTAAACAAGGAAAATACGCGTAACACTTTAAAACTACTGTTATGATTTCATAATGTCCTTAAAATCTACAACTTTTCTTTCTTGTATGGATAGTATTTTATATCCGTTAACTTTTGAATTAATATGTTTGTGTGCCGCCTGTATGTGCGTGTGTCTGTTGGCGTGTGCGTGTATATATTTCATTTGTGCATAGTAGATAAAGAAGATATCGTTCACAGAGCAGTATTACTGCCTATTTTGTCATCCCTTTCCGTTTAGAGCTCACAGAAACACCTGTTGCTGCGGCACTGGACGTTTTGGCGGAGGCTCTCTTGCAATATTTTCTGGAACAAACATTAACGTCTTATTTAGTTATTTCTAAAACAAAACTAAGAGTTACCGATTAATTTAAGGAAATTTGTCAAATGACAACTTGATAAACATAAATAAATAAGCTTATTATAAACCATATAGGAAGAAATCAATTCCATATATACGGGCAACCAACAAAATGACCTGACATTTAAAAATGCTCCAGTTTTGTAACAATTTTTATATCCGTTCGATATCAGAATTTATCCTGAAGTCTGAGCAGTAATTTTGTTACACGTACGCAGTGTTAAAATCAGATCAATACATAACATGTCTGGCACAAATTCCAGAAAAAGTTTAATGCCTGGAGAACAACATTAATTATATAGACAATTCATTCACCAAAGAGACAAATGATGAACCCCATCTGACCTGTAGGTAACCCATAGAATAGTGATTTTTATTCCAAGAGGAATTATCACAATTTCATTCATTCATTCATTCATTCATTCATTCATTCATTCATTTTTTTATTCTTGTCAGTACATCAGTACAGATCGCAGCACTGTCACCTTGTGTCATGGATTTGGATCCTGCAGCTACTGCCCTCTGCATGCTGAGTCTGCATGTTCGTCTTGTATTCTGCACGTTTCTCCTCCTGTAGCACAAAAACATGCTGTTTGCTGAGTTGGCTCCTGTAAATTTCTCGTAGCGCCTGACTGTGAACCCTACAAAAGACTCTGAAACAGGGTATTCTATAGTCTCGTGCCACATCCTGCTTGGGAAATGCTCCAGTCCCCCCCCCCCCCCCCACCGACGCTGCTCTGCATAAGTGGCTAGAAGATGAATGGAAGGATTTCTTTTTTGTGGGCAAAACAAGGAAGCCAGCTTTCAGTACCTCAGAATCTGTAGTGAGCAGGCTGGTGAAAAGGTCAATGGGTGAAATACAATGAATCTGGGTGGTCATAAGGCACCGATATTCACTACTGATTGGATATTTCACTTATTATATTTAAATGATTATACACTAATCATTTTGTATATTTAATTTTGAATTTCCCTAAATTACCATGTTCTTTCCACTCTGTGCAAACATACAGGATTAATTCATCTATCCATCTTCCTTCCATCCATAACTGTGTATCTAGTCCAGAGCAAAAGTCAGTCTAGAGTTTTACCACGAAGGATACGGCACAAGGCAGGGAACAGCCTGGACAGAATGTGAGCCCATCATAATACAGAATTAACAGGCAAGACTAAATAATCTGTGTCACAGTCATGTTGGCTGAAGGACTGAGAGGAAGACAGTCCCAACTGACAAATACCTCAGAACTTCATACTTCAAGACTCCTCTGTCATGAGTTTTTTTTTCTGTTGCTGTCCATCAGCCACATTTGTCTCATCGATGGGTTAATCTTTGATGGTATCATTTATTAGACTTCTCGTTGTGACATTGTTGTGTAAACTGCTCGTTCAATTCATCTTCAGACTCAGTGATATCTCCAGAACTGTTTCTTGTCTTTATTTACCATTCATTTCAATGATCTCACTCTGCAGCTCCAGTACACTGATTAAATAATATTACAATTTCAACAAGGTCAGTCTTTATATTCAAACTGACAGATGAACTAGTATAACTCTCTCGAAAGAAAAAAGAACGTAAAAGTGTAAAATATTTTTTTTTCTTTCTGTTTTTACAGAATCTAAGTTTGCCTGCAATTACATTGCACAAAAAACTAACAATGCAGGACACACACACACCATTCACACCTACAGACAATTTGGCAACTCCAATTCACCTTAGCATGTTTTTGGACAGTGGGGGTAGCAAATATAGTATATTAGTAAAAAAAAAAAGTCATTTTGAAGGAATTAATCAATCAACCAATTAATTGATTAATGGAACAATTTAATGTTATATATAGTACAATAAAAGATCCAACCTACTGTATAACATCATAGAATTATTCCACCTTTTATGGAAAAGGTGGGATACAAGTGTATGTATTTATTTTAAATTTAGATTAATACAATAATTAATATTGTGAGTGTTATAAAGTTTACTCGTTTACTACTCAGTTTACTCTCCAAGTCTTTTTTTTTTAATTGCAGTTTTATTATTGGTTTCTGTGTTTGATATTTTCAAATGAATTTCCCTCTTATTAGGAGCCACATGGCAGCTGATATGTCCACTTATGATTTATGTTTGCTTACTCCACCCAGTTTCCACACAGCAAATCGGAAGCAATGCAGTTTCTGAAGGCTCAGTGCCGATAGGAGGGGCAGGGTGACATTTAAGCAGGCAACCAATAAATGAGGGGTGCCTGATAGTCTTGACAAAATCATGAAGCTGGAGAATAAGGCAGTCTGCATTCTTAGCAATGAAGCCCAAGACTTACCATAAAGACTGAGGAAACACTTTGGGGAAAAGAGTCCATCCATCCATCCATCCATCCATTTTCTGTGTCCGCTTGTCTTATTCAGAGTCGCGGGGGGGCCCGGAACCTGTCCTGGAGGTTATGGGTGCAAGGCAGGGAACAACCCAGGATGGGGCACCAACCCCTTGCAGGACACACTGACATAGCAGTCACTCACACATGCATGGGGGAATGAATCATTTTCCCAAAATTACCCTCCAATACATTATATAATTGGCTTCTCACAGACGAGGGAAGCTTCTCAGTATATTTGTAGTTCCTTCCTTCTGTATTACATATGTTTGCTGTTCACAATCGAGTGCCCAGTCATGTAGTTGAGACTTAGGACAAAGTGTAAAAAAAAAAAACAATCAAACAAAATATTATGGTATCATGAGGCTGCAACTGAATTTTAAGAATTATTTGAAAGCCAACTAAGCATTGGAACAATACATTACTTTCTGAATTTTACAATTGTGAACTTTTCTAACTTTGATTACAAAATATGGAGTTGGAAGTAATTAAGTGGGAACATCTGGGAGAAACAGTGGCAGTGTCACAGGGTCACTGACTGAGATGTAAGCGTGTTGGGAGAGTCCTCCAGGACTTGCTGACAGTAAGCGAAAGAGTAGGGAGGGGGGGGCAAGGCAAGCCATTGTGGAGATGACTGGCTTCCATTAGTCGGCAGGTGATTGGCAGAAAGATCATGATCTTTCAATCTCAGGTCAGGTCCCTTTCAGAAGGGGCCATTCCTGCCGATCCATCTGTTCATTGTGGTCTCTCGTCGAATCCCCTGCTTCCTGACACTCCTCTGCTTTGATTTGACCAGGGCTTTCCCTTGTGTGAGCTCCGGCCTGTCATCAGCTATTGCAGAGAGGAGCAGAACTGGTGCAGGGGCTGACCCCAGGGGAAAGACAGGGGTGAGGAGGTAAAGCCTGACCACTGGCCTCACTTCCTTATCTTTCAGAAGTGTCAGTGTACCGAAGAAGGGCTTAATTTGAACTGGGGCAGTCCACCCCCCTCCCCCCGCCCCATGAGCCCCCTCTGAAAAAAAAGCCCTGTTGCCCCACAAGTACATTTCAACACATATGTGATCCTCCCGATTAAAAATAAACACATTCATCAAAGAACTCTGCCACAAGGCATTTGTCTGTGACTAAAGTGAACATAAGCTAGTGACAGTCTTCAGATATTTCAGATATAAGTTAGACCTTGCTACTGAAGTTTTTTGATGAGTATCAGTTTGAACATTAATATGGTTTAATAATTTTAAAACTAAAAAAAAAAATCATGACCCAAGTGTTGTTAACGGAACAACAAATGCAAATTGTTCATTTACCGTGAATGAACAGAAAGTGGATTGGGTTCTGGGAATTATCGATAAGAATAAACTGATAATGATTTTTCTAATTGTTCTTAATAAGCAGTCACAATGCTGGTTTAATCTTATTTTTTTATGGAGATTACTCAATTTAACAGTTTTACAAATAAATTACAGGTAGCTTATTTAAAATTACAAACAGGATCATTGTTAAAATTTTGATTTTAGGTTTTTTGCTAATTAAAAGTTTCAGTATAATTTGAACATGCATGTATTTTATAAGAAAAAATAACTACTGGAAAACAACAAAGTGACAAAACGACAAATAGACATTTTAACCTTCATCACCCCCTATGTTCTAAATGATGTTAAGTTTTAAGCATAAAGAACAATAAACTACATATAATGCGTGTCACAAGATACTTATTCCACCTGAAGACGTATTCCA